AAAACTTTTGAAGTGTTTTAATATAATATATTAATGATTTCTGTTACATTTCAGTAACTATAGCATCACATTTTTCTTTTAGAATTCAAACCTGATTCATTATAAAGTATCTCCTCCTAATGATCGACAAGGATCTCCAATATTATCATTCATCATTCTTGAACAATTTAATGCCATTCGTTTAGTACAAAGTGTTCATCAGTCTCTTGCTGCTCTCAGCAAAGTCATCAGAGGAACTACCTTATTGAGTTCAGAAGTACAAAAATTGGCAAGTGCTTTGTTAAACCAAAAGGTAAGCCAATACTAACTATGTTTTTTATTTCATTGTTGTACGTGGCTCTTGCATCATGCATACATTTGTCAGTAATCTTACAGTTAATAGTAACAGAAAATTCAAGTCAAACTGGCTTAAGCCATATAGAAATTAACTGGTTGATATAACTGAAGAGTCTAGTGGTAGCTAGCATTAAGTCAGCTTGATTCAGGAGCTTAAAATTGTCATGAGGATCTCAGTTTATGTTATCTATCTAGCTATCTAATCATTGCATATATAATGAAATCTGTGTTGATTTCACTTTGGGACAGGTCCTCTATACATGATGGTACCCTACCAGCCTGAGTTTTATATCTTCTGAGCTCCAAGTGCAACAGAAAACAAAACAAAACAAACAAACAAACAAAAAAACCACCTGTTTCCTAGTAACTCAAGCAAAAATCTTGGGATTTGCTTTGATTCACACCACTTGGCTTATATGTTATGCCTATTCCCATACTGGTTCTGTGGGCAGGGTGTGCAAAGCTCTCACTGACTAGGGCTTCAGCCAAATGCTTATCCTGTGGGCTGGGGATGGATTCATCTTGATCTGTAACACAAATGCTGAGAATAAGGGAAGGATGATCACCCAGTGGAAAATCAGGGTACTTTTAGCAGAAGAAGAAAGAAACACATTGCTCTTGCTGCATAATTGGACCCTTTTAAATGATAGTAAAATCCGTGTATTTCAGATCTGTTGGGTAAGAAACATAAAATATGGGATGTCCTGCATAAACTTACCTTGGCTAGTTAGAGAATATAAACTTTACAGAAGTTGGTATCTGGAAAAGATTTCACTAGGGCTTTACAGGAATTAAGAGGTTTTTTCCCCCCTGCTATTTATACTCAGTCTAAGGAAACCTCTGATAGTCAACCTAAAAGTCCTCTCTGTTTGATTATAAAAGGATAGCCTTGGCCGGATGCGGTGGCTCACTCCTGTAATCCTAGCTCTCTGGGAGGCCGAGGCGGGC